ACGAAAAGGACGTAATTTTGGGGATGTTTGCTTTTTAGGACAATGACATTTACGGATATGCAAACTTTAGTGAAAGTTCGGTTAACCGATCGAACCAAAACATTTCGGTTAACCGTTCGTAAACCCAAAAACTTCCTTTCCATTAATGGTTAAATAATTTAAAATTTTTCGGTTAACGGTTAATTCAGTTCGAAAATATCGGATAATCGAATTAACTAAACGGTGTGGACTTTATAATTTCTGCTTTTATGTTTTTAATATTCGATGTTATAATTTACACAATTATATATCGATCTAAATATTCTTAATATAGTGTAATAAATCCATTCCATGCAACACATGAGTGAAAATACTAATAATAATAATAATAATAATAAAAGTAATAATAATTAAGAAAGAATAACAAGGGTAAAATGTAAGATATAAATAATCTAACTATACTGAATAATAATACTGAATAATAATACGAAAAACCTGACCTCGTAAAGCGGAAGCCATAGTCGTGTTGATCTCCAGCCACAGTTGATCGTATAAGCGAAAGCGAAGCGATAATTCGTAATATTTTTTTAACAACAGGCTATTACTAATAGTGAATTACTGTTCGCAACAACAATTTGGGGTTGCAAACAGTAGCACCTTGTTGTTGTTCGTAGTCATAAATTGCTTTTGCAAATAATAGCTTTTTGCTTGATGCCTAGCAGCTGAATATCAAGTATAATGTTATACACACACACACACACACACACACACACACACACACACACACACACACACACACACACACACACACACACACACACACACACATATATATATATATATATATATATATATATATATATATATATATTGATGTGGGTGAAAGAGCTATATAATAAGAAGAATTTTATGATATATTATAACATGTTTTCTAAGAAAATTATAAACGATAAGAATCGAATCATTGAAAGTTTGTAAAGATGTATTCAATTTAGAATTTCAATGACTTTTGTAGACTTTTTAAAATAAAAAATTAATAAAAGTTTATGAATGTTTTTTATAAAGACTTTTATAAAGTCATACAAAGTTTTAAAAAGTTTTGAACGACTCTATGAAAGTCAATAATTTTTTTTTTTAACAAAAACAAAAACTATATATCAACCTCAAAAGGAAAGGGGCAAAAGCCTTACAAAGTCACTTGGTCCAAATGTGACCAAGTTGGCAACAACTAAAGGCCTAATTAGCCTTAGATACAACAACAATAAAAATTTATTAAAATCTATCATTTAAAAAGTCTTTAAAAGTCCACAAAAGTCATGATTGAATACACCCCCTAAGAAAGTTTCGTAATTCTGAACAAGTTAATAAACCTAAATACTTTTAAATTATACTTTATTAATGTTAAAACTAATTATTTGATTATTTTAAATTTTTGTAGACATTTGAGGCACAGCCCTACTCAACGAATGAAATAGATGAGATTCGTGAGATTTGGGCAAAATATTTTTGTGAAGAATGCTTATAAAATTTTTGTAGGTAAACATGTTGATTTAGATATTGTTGTATGATGCCATATTATTGATTTGTTGTTGATGACTAATATAATTATGATGGAGTAGTGTTAAATATAATGTTTTAACTCTTATTTAGTTAATTTTAATGTATTGGTACTTATATGTGTTTATTCATTAATTTAGTAGTGTTACATTGATTAATTGGTAATTATGTGTTGATAGAGTTTGGTGTAGTGTGCACATTTGTAGTAAAGTGTTGGTGTGGTGTAGTTGATAAAATTAGTGTGGTGTAGTTGATATAATCGGTGTCGTATGGTGTAGTTCAATCCATATGATTAATATTAAAGTGTTGGTGTGGTGTTCTAAAGTGTTGATGTAGTGTGTTTAGAACTTTGAAGTGCGATAGACAGTGGTGTTGACAGTGTTGAATAATGTTGGAATGTATAGAAAAAAAAATTAATAGTTTTATCAAATAAATTAAATATAAAAAAATTAATCTGTGTCTGGTCCTAGATTAGACACAGATTGACACTGATTGTATTTAAAAAAAAAAAAAAAAAAAAAAAAAAAAAAAAAAGAAAAAAAAAGACAATCTGCGTCCGATCCTGTGTAGGATCAGACGCCGGTGTTACCTCAGACGCAGATTGTCCAACCAATCTGTGTCTGTGGCATATGCGTCTGAGGTACTTCAGACGCAAATAATCCTTTACTTCAGACGCAGATGACTCATTCTGTACTAGTGATTGTGGTTACTAAGTTAAGGGTCTAATCAACTTGGTTGGGATTGCACCACCTACCTTGCTCAATTTGTTGTTACCTTTAGTGGAGCATCATGGACATATCTTGGTTCCATTGCTTTGATGGTCGTCATGCGACAAATGTTGGGATCATGGAACAAATACTAGGTTGGTCTTATTGCTAAATATCTCCATGCATTTTGTTCGTTCTCTGCTATTATCTAAATAGAATATTAGTAGAAGTATTTTAATATATTTGTGTTTCTTGGATTTCATGTACGTGGTTTGATTATTATCTTAACTGCATTGTTATATTTTTCTATGTGTTTTATAAACAATTCAGAGCTTGTATAGATCGAAAGTGGCAATTAATGAAATTGGTGAGAGTGTGATGGCTTTTAATACCAACTACAAAAGACTTCGGGGCATTTTGGTGTGTAAGAAGTAGTCAAGGTAAGTCCAAAGTACACTATGGCCATGTTTTAAAATAATTAGCTTGTCAATCAATTTTAACTTATTTGACCACTATTAATTGTTTGACTTAGTTAAAAAAAAATAATATAAATTTTTGGCTAATTAGCTTTTTGTAACTCCAAAATGCTAAAATTCAAAAAGTTACTCAAAACAACTTTTTCAATTAGTTTTTTTGAGAAAAGAAATTATACCAAACCGCTATCAGTTAACAACTAATTTACCAAACAACTTTTTACAATCAGCTAAGGGGGCTAATTTACCAAACAATTTTGGGCTAATTTACCAAACAACTTTTTACAATCAGCTAAGGGGGATGTTTGGTAAATGGTTGATAGCTGATAACTGATTGGTTTAGCTGGTATTTGATAGTTGATTGTGTTAACTGGTTTGACCAGTTGGTTGTATTAGCTGATTATAAAAAAGTGTTTTGGTAAATTAGGTAAATGGTTGATAGTTGATAGTTGATAACTGATTGGTTTAGCTGGTATTTGATAGATGATTGTGTTAACTAGTTTGACCAGTTGATTGTATTAGGTGATTATAAAAAAGTGTTTGGTAAATTAGTTGTTTACTATTAGCTTATTGCATGTAAAATGACCTTTAAGGGTATGAGTATATTACTATTATTATTTACTATTAATGAATTTATTATTATTATTATTATTATTATTATTATTATTATTATTATTATTATTATTATTATTATTGTTGTGAACAAAGAAAATTGAATAAATTTAGTAATATTCAAAATTCTGGTTACATGTCAAATATCAATGGGGTGTGGGTACAAGTTTCTGGATGATCCTCTGATTCTTCAATTGGATGCCTTGAACACCCCACCATTAAAGGGCCTCCGGGTTTAATCTTCAAAGAAGGGCTTGTATATATAGCTTGTTCTTCTTAAAGGGCCTCCGGGTTCAAGCCATCCGGGTTTAATCTTCAAAGAAGGGCTTGTTCTTCTTGAAGGGCCTCCGGGTTCAAATGGCTTGATCTTCAATGGAGGTTTGAATCAACCTGCATCAACATATGGAGGAGGAGTTTTTACTTTCAGGATCACATTTTTATTGTGATCTCTGAATAAACTTGATGTTCTTTTTATGATTTTTCCTAGGATATCTAATTACATAAAAATAAAAGGTCCTATTTATAGCTGTAGGATAGAAGAGTTTTGATAGATTCAAACTCTTTTGATATTATCTAATTAACAAATTAGATAATATCAATATTATCCAAAATATTTTAAATATATTCAAATATACTAATATTGATAAATAATCAATATTAATCAAAATTTAAGTTTCTACAATTATTATTATTATTATTATTATTATTATTATTATTATTATTATTATTTATTACTATTGAAAATTTATTATTATTAAATGAATAAACCCACAATAATAATAATAATAACAATAATAATAACTATTGTTTTTTTATAACTATTGTTATTTGTAGATTGTAATGAAATTTCCACATGAAAGTTTTTTTTTATTGATTAATAATTTTTTAGTAATAAACTAAGTATCAGACAAAATTTAAACTTGTAGTTACATTTCACTTTTCACTCAAGCCGACCATATAGTCCAAGGGGGCGTGTAGGCCGAGGCTAATGCAAGGCAATCGTTATGTCATAGAACCGTGTTCACCATTCATGTTGAACAAAATTTCAACGGTAACAGTGCACCGTTATCTTTTTTTTTTCTTAATTAATCGCATGACTTTTCTTCTTCATTTTCACATTTCGCGGTTTCATTTTCTCTTCGCGCAAGTTTCTTCAACATTCATAAATTATGAATGTGCAAGCATGTATTTATGAATGTGGAGTTATGAAATTATGAATTTTCTTTTATGAGATTATGGATTTTCTGTTATGAAATTATGAATTTCCTATTATGAGATTATGAATCTTCTGGTATGCGATTATGAATTTTCTGTTATGAAATTATGAATTTTCTGTTAGAGCAAATTACAAAAATGGTCCCTCGACTATGTCAATTTCACCAATTTAGTCCTAATCATTTTGATTTCTCTAATCAAATCCTCCGACTATCAAAATTTAACCATTTTAGTCCTCCGGTGACTTGGATGGCCAACTTCCGGTGATGGTAAGGGTAGTTTAGTAACTTCGCATTTATTCCCGCTGAATCGTAATATTTGGCACTTTAATTCACCAGAAGCTTTTTCGTTAGTCAAAATCCCAAAGCTTTGTCAACATAAACCCTAGCAGTCGAATGTGCGCGAAGTAGAAGGCGAAGCATACGAACTCCTGTCTGAAGTTCGAAGAAACAGAGTAATGGCAACTGATGGTGGAAGCGGAACAAGTATTTATACTTTGCAGATCTTGCTTTATTGTACTGCGGAAAGAGACTTGGTTTATTGTACTATATTTTCAGTGGGGACCATATACATATGAATTTCCGTAGTTGTTAATGATGTACTATGTCTACCTGCACTATGCAATATGAAATTAATGGGGACCATTGTGTTGTCTGTGCATAAAAGGGGAGCAGTGTGTTGAGTAAATGGGGACCAGTGTGTGAGTAAATGGGGACCAGTGTACTTTGTTGTAGTCAGATTCTATTTTGTAGTCATATGGGAACCATGTGCTTTTACTTTTATTTGTTAATTTGTTGTCAGGCAGCATGTTTAAAGTGGTTTTACTTGCTTTGTTTAAACAACTTTTTTATTGTTATTGTTTTCTGTGTTATTATATTATATACAGGTTGTTATAGTTTCCCATTAAACCTAAGGCATGAGGAGTATGATGATGATGGGGGTGAGGAGTATGTTGATGATGGTAGTGAGGAGAATGATGATGATGTGGATGAGGAGTATGATGATGATGGTAGTGAGAAGTATGCTGATGATGGCAGTAATGTAGAAGATGATATAGAGTTTGATAAATGCATTGATGAAAATGTGGAATTTGGAGGGGTTGTAAGAAATAATGAAGAAACTGAACAAAGGAGAGTAGAAACTATTTTAGGTGAAAATGTGGACTTATCTGGTGATAGGGAAGTTCTGGAAAGTGATGAAGAAGTCCAAGGGGATGTGTGGCAGGCTGGTAGGCCTAGAGGTCAAGATAATGCTCCAGTATTATGGATTGAGAGGACATTCACAACTAAAAAAGATTTTAAAGGAGCAGTTTTAGAGTATGGAATAAGAAATGGGAAAGAGTTGAAGTACATCAAGAATGACAAGGTCAGAGTTGTAGCAATTTGTACCCATGAGTGTTGCAATTGGAAGATCACATTGAGAAGAGTGCCAGATGAGGTGTGCTGGAGGGTACTAAGTTTCAATGATAACCATGAAGGTTGCACATGGAGTGAGAAGAATAGACTACTGACTTCTTTAAAAGTAGCAAATAAGTGGAAGAAAGAACTTAAAGATAACTCCAAAATGACAATGCATGAATTCAGGAAAAAGATTTGGACTTCTGGGCATTACAGTTTGAGTTCTAGACAAGCCTATAAGGCAATGACCTTTGCTAAGAGAGATATTAAAGGAGAAGCTGAAGATAACTTCAAAAAAATATGGTCTTACGATGCTGAAATCCGGAAAACAAATCCCATGTCAAGATTTTTTATTAAGTTAAGTGATGATGGAGGCATGGAAAGGCTTAAGAGAGTATACGTGTGTTGGGAAGCTTGTAGGGAAGGTTTCAAGTATTGTAGGCCATTAATTGGTGTTGATGGTTGTCATCTGAAGGGTAGGGTAGGTATGCTACTGACTGCAATTTCAATAGATGGGAATGAAGGGATTTTTTCACTTGCATATGCTTTTGTTGAAGGAGAGAATAAAGACAGTTGGTGTTGGTTTCTAAAGTTATTGCAGAGGGACTTGGAAACCATTGAAATCAATGAAAATAACCTAACATTTATGTCCGACAAGCAAAGGGGTTTGATACCAGCTTTTCATGAGGTTTTTCCTAGGGCAAGTCATAGATTCTGTGTCAGGCATTTACATGGCAATATGAGAGTGGTAGGTTTTATTGGACAACCAATAAAAGATGCATTGTGGAAGGCTGCTAGAGCAACAACAGTGAATACCTTTACAACTGCTTTTAGGGAGTTAAAGGATCTGGATGTGAAGGCATTTGAGTGGTTGGCAGATAAGCATCCAGCAGAATGGTCAAGGTCACACTTCAACACAAGGGCTCAATCAGATATGCTGGTTAATAATATCTGTGAAAGTTTCAACTCCATGATCCTTGATGCAAGAGAGAATCCTTTGATCACTTGCTTAGAGATTTTAAGAAAACAACTTATGGTCCGGATTTATGAGTGTAAGACTAGGGCTTCAAAATGGCCTGGACCTATATGTCCAAATATTGTTAAAAAACTAGATATTGTTGAGCAACAAGCTGGGTCCTTTTGGTGTTATCAAAGCAGTGAGACTTTGTTTGAAGTCATAGGGCCAGTGGATCAACATCAAGTGGATTTGGGAAGACATAGTTGCTCTTCTAGAAAGTGGGAACTAACAGGGATCCCTTGTAGACATGCAGTCTATGCAATTTGGAAAAAGTATGGCAAAGGACCTGTTTATGATTATGTTCATCCATGTTATTCGGTCCAGACTTATAAGAAAACTTATGAAGGTTGTATTCATCCAATTGCTGGACCTGATGAATGGCCTATCATTCAAAGGGAGCCACCATTGCCAGTTTGCCACCATTATACAAAACACAAGTTGGAAGGCCTAAGAAGTTGAGAAGGAGATCTGCTGGAGAGTTGCCAAATGAAAAGAAAACATATAAAAAGAAGAAAAAAGCTGAGAAAGAACCTCTAAAGCTAACTAAAGATGGTGTTCATGTATAAAGGAGTTTTGTGAGGCTTCATTGCACACATTGCAAGCAACCAGGCCATAATAGCAGGACTTGTCCTTTGACAAAAAAACAAGCAGGTATACATTCTGTTATAAGCTTCTTTTCCTTAACTTCAAAACTAATTGCTACTCTATGTTTCACAAAAAGCAAGTAACCCAGAACAACAACTTGGTGAAAGTAGTGCTACAATTGAGAATCCAGTGAATCGGAATCATACTGCAGCTAATGAAGTCAATCAGAATCATACTCCAGCTAATGAAGTCAATCAGAATCATACTCCAGCAAATGAAGTCAATGAATAGAATGAAGTCAATCTGAATGATTTAGGTAATTAATTGTTTGTATTTCTAAACTGAATGAAGTCAATTAGAATGAGTTGTCAATTAATTGTTTTTTTACCATGTAGTTGACATAGAGATTACTAATGGATGTGAGAATGAAACTGATGTGAATGAAGTTGATCCATTGTTGGAAGAAGTGAATGATTTCACCAATTTAGGTAATAATTCTTTTGGAGTGGTTAATATAAAATGTTGTCAGGCAGCTTAATTCTTTTTAGTTTTTAGTTTTTAACTTTTATTTTTTATACAAGTAGATGATACATTGTTGGATGAAGTGGATGGAACTGATGTGAATGGAGCTGAAGTGAATGATTTCACCAATTTAGGAAATAATTCTTTTGAAGTGGTTAAAATAAAATGTTGTCAGACAGCTTAATTCTTTAATATAAATTGTTTTAACTTTTATTTTTTATACAAGTAGATAATCCATTGTTGGACGAATGGGATGCAATTCAAATCCCATGGGAGGTTTTTGATAACACACAAGAACCACCATGTGATGGCACAGAACCAGAAGAAGCAACATCAGAAGGCTATGCTAGAGGACCCCCTAAGGCTATGTTAAAGAAGGGAAGAAAACAGAAGAAAGCATTGGGATCAACCAGGAAATACAAGACTAGATCTACATCTATGTTCAAGAGCAAGTTCCATGGGAACTCTAAGGAGCCAATAGAAATTGAGTAGGAGTATAACATTATGTAGCTTCTTTTTTTTTTTTTGGTGATCATAACTACTCCAAACTGTGGCTTTTTTGTTGGTTGTTAAGTGTTTTGGCAGTGAACAACATTTTGCTAGTAAATCTATGTTAAGTGTTTTGGAAGTGAACAACACTTTGCTAGTAAATCTGTGTTTTGACTCTTCTTGTTAGTTGTCAATTAAACCAAAGTTCTATTTTGGTAGTGAACCATTTTGACTCAATAGCATATTCAAATAGACAGCTCTCTGCTCAGTACCATTCAATAAACTACACCAATAAACAACATACCAAGTTAACATTATAAACCATACCAAACCGAGCACACAAAACCATACAAAAACATAGTAGACCATTTTAAGGTTCATAAACATAGCAATCATTTCATTGATTCAATTCAAGTTAACATGTTACAACATAATATCAAGCCAACATTTTAAGCCTCTTTTCCCTAACTTCAACACTAGATACAGATGACAAAAAAACACAACATTGCCAACACTAAGATTACAATCCAAACGAACAACAGTTTAAGAGTAAACTTCCAATTCACACTTGCTTTGCCATTCATTCTAGTATTGCCAGCTACCCTAATTTTCCTTCTCAATGTCTCATTTTCTTCTTCATGTCGATTTATTCTTCGCAATAATCCTGGAATTATTTTCTTCGACCTTGAGCACATGGGAGGATCGAACCATTTAATAAACCTACATCCAAACACATTGCCTTGTACAAAAAAAAAAAAAAAAAAAAAAAAAAAAAAAAAATCCCTGATTTTCACATTCGAACTTCAACAAAAACATGGTTATCGAAATTCCCAACTTGGATTAAAAAAAAAAAAAAAAAAAAAAACTTACATTTGAACGAGAGCATTCCCAATATCTTCTCCCAGGATTATCATTTGTCTGCGAAGTTTTCAGATTCAACAATTGCCCACAATTACAATTAGGAACTGATATGAACTCACCGTAATGATGAACCCTCTGATCTGATTGGCAGGAAAAAGACGACCTATCGCCCATGTTGGAGACGAAGAAGCAGTGTTGTTGGTCGGAGACGTGGAGAGAATCGCAGACGGAGACGAAGAAGCAGTGTTGTGGCTTCGTTGTTGGAGTTGTTTCATCAATTAGGTTTCTGGCAGTGAACAACGAACAAATAGCCGATGAACGGAGCATAGTGAACTTCCAATAATATCCCTCAAAATATGCCATCCAAGTCACCGGAGAATTAAAATGGTTAAAATTTTAATAGTCGGAGGATTTGATTAGAGAAATCAAAATGATTAGGACTAAATTGTTGAAATCGACATAGTCGAGGGACCATTTTGGTAATTTGCTCTTTTCTGTTATAAGATTATGAATTTATAGAAAATTCATAATTACATAACTGTAAATTCATAATCCCATAACAGAAAATTCATAATTTAATAAATGTTTTTCTTTTATGCGATTATGAATTTTTTGTTATAAGATTATGAATTTACAGTACATTCATAATCTCGTAATAGAAACTTCATAATCTGAACAAACGCGCGCCGTTAACAGCACATTAACTAAAAAAAAATTCTGTAAAAACGATGTCGTTATGGTGAACACGTTTCCGGGGCATAATTCTGTAACGTCCCTTTGGGGCTTATATAACGTTCAGATTAAGAGGTTTTGTGATAAGCGTAGTTTACAAAAGATGTTCACATGAATACATTAGCGAAAATGATATTATATGGATAAACCATTAAGCCACAATGGTACAAAATTAACAATGATAATTAAGCGTTTTGTATTACAATATTTTTAAATAAGTTAATACGGAGTTATGATAGAGAATAGACATGCATTTTGAGTTAATTGACAAAAATAGACTAAATTTGCAATAACCAAAAAAAATATATTTAATATGAATTGCAACAAACAAATAAGTAAAAAAGAAAATGAAATTCTAACTTAAATTGCAAATGGTCTTTTCTTCTTTGGTTAGTCCGCTACACAGTACACACTTTTATGGTGTGTTTGGAAGATGAGGATACGATATATCTGAATGAATAATAATGAGTCTGTACATGAGTATATATAGTAGTGAATAGTAAACCTATTACAAGACGAATACTAATAATAATAGGTAACGAACACTAATTACTAATAATAATAGGTAACGAACACTAATGATGATAGAGTCCTAATACTCCCCCTCAAGCACAAGGTGGACTAGCAACAACATTGAGCTTGCCACATAGAGTAGAGAAACGCGGACCAGGGAGAGCTTTAGTGAACACATCAGCGAGCTGATCCTTTGTGGAAATGAAGCTAACCTGCAACTCATTCTTCGCCACTTTGTCACGAACAAAGTGGTAATCAATTTCCACATGCTTCGTACGAGCATGGAACACCGGGTTGGAACAGAGATAAGTCGCACCCAAATTATCACACCAGAGAGTGGGAGGAGCAGCCAATGACACTCCAAGCTCGTGCAACAGAGAAACCAACCAGGTGACCTCCGCAGACACATCAGCCAGAGCCTTGTATTCAGCCTCTGTAGACGAACGAGCAACCGTGCGTTGCTTCCGACAAGACCAGGAAATCAGATTGCCACCAAGAAAAACCGCAAAACCACTAGTAGACTTCCTGTCAGCTGGATCACCAGCCCAGTCCGAATCCGAAAAGGCATGAACCGCAACAGAGGAGGAAGGACGAATAAAAAGACCAAAGTGCAGAGTTCCTTTTACATGCCGCAGAACACGCTTGAGCATAGCCCAATGCTCAGTGGTTGGAGAGTGCATATGCTGACAGACCCGATTCACGGCAAAAGAGAGATCCGGACGAGTAACAGTAAGATACTGTAGAGCCCCAGCAAGACTGCGATACTGCGTGGGATCCGCATAGGGAACCACAGAATCAGAAGAAGGTCGGGACACAGGAACCGGAGTAGCCAACGGTTTACAGTCCACCATACCTGCACGGCTCAAAATATCTCGCATGTATCGCTGCTGAGAAAGAAACAAACCACCATCCTTGGAGACCGTCTCAATGCCAAGAAAAAAAGACGGAGCACCCATGTCACGAATCTTAAACTCCGAGGCTAAGTCAGTAAGAAGCCGAGTAACACACGAAGCATCAGACCCCATAACAAGGATATCATCAACATAGACAAGCAAATATAAACAAATAGAGGCACGCGTATAGATGAATAAAGAAACATCAGTCTTGGAGGGTGAAAAACCAACCGACACCAAGAAAGCATGCAACCTATTGAACCACGCTCGAGGAGCCTGCTTAAGACCATAGAGTGACCTCTGTAACAAACACACATCATCCGGCCGTGACTGGTCTTCATAACGGGGCGGCTGTCTCATGTAAACTGTCTCTGCAAGATTACCATTGAGGAAGGCGTTGTGAACATCCAACTGCCGAATGACCCAACCGCGAGAAACGGCTAAAGAGAGAAGAAGCCGTACGGTGGTGGGTTTGACAACAGGACTGAAAGTCTCAAAAAAATCTTGCCTAGCGACTTGATTGAAACCCTTTGCGACCAATCGAGCCTTGTGCCGCTCAATCGTGCCATCGGCCTTGCGCTTCGTTCTGAACACCCATTTGCACCCCACAACGTTCATGCCAGGTGTACGACTAACCAGACGCCAAGTGTGATTCTGGAGCAAGGCATTAAACTCAAGATCCATGGCCTCACGCCACTCCGGATACCGAACTGCCTGAGAATAACAAGTCGGTTCAGGAACAGTCATAAGAGCCACATGCTGCGTCGGTCCTTGAGAACGGGTTGCCATGACATGAGACCGAGGCTGAACAGGCTTCGCCGTACGGCGGCCTCGCTTGGGCGCAGTAGGAGCACCCGAGACCGCCCCTTCCGGAGCCGTAGCAGTCACGGTGCGAGAATCTGAACCAGCTGCGGCAGCCCCGGAATCCGCGTCCAACTCTGGATGAGGATCAGGTCCAGTGGGACAAACATCGGAGCCAACACCAACCCGAACGGCACCAACACCCCACGGCTCAACCGGGCGAGAGCTAGAGACCTGAGAAGGCATAGAAGAAGCAAACGGATATACGGTCTCATCAAACCGTACATGACGACAAATGAATACCTTGTTAGTAGCAGGATCTAAACAACGATAGCCACGAAACGAAGACGGATAACCAAGAAACACACACGGGGATGACCGATACTGCAACTTGTTACGATTGTACGGGCGCAACAGAGGATAACAGAGACAGCCAAACACACGTAAGAAGGAATAAGAAGGATTAGAATGATGCAAACGATAATGAGGACTGACATTGTCTAGAACTCGAGTAGGCATTTTATTGATGAGATAGACCGCAGTCTCAAAGGCATAATCCCAATATCGCTGTGGAACCGAAGCCTGAGCCAAGAGAGCCAGACCCGTTTCCACAACGTGACGATGCCGACGCTCAACTCTACCATTCTGCTCATGGGTATAGGCACAAGATTGCCTATGATTGATACCCAAAGAGACAAAAGTACGGTGCAACCGTTTATACTCTCCCCCTAAATCAGATTGTATAGAGACAATCTTACGACCATATGAACGCTCAACTAGTGACCGAAACTGCTCGAAGATAGCATACACATCAGTTTTTAATCGCATAGGATAAAACCATACATAGCGTGTGTAGTCATCAACAAACAAAACAAAATAACGAAAACCACTGACAGAAAGAAAAGGCGATGGGCCCCAAATATCAGTATAAATAAGCTCTAAAACATGCGACGTAGTAGTATTGACACGAGGCAAGGGAAACCGAGATGATTTCCCAAGCATACAAGCACGACATGACACCGAACTATTACTAAAACTAGAACCAATGGAACACGAATTCAAAATCTGTCGCAAGACACGAGGATGAGGGTGACCCAACCGACCATGCCAAACGTCAGAGGAGACACGCGAAGCCACTAACGCAGCGGGACTCGAATGAGAAACAGGCCAAGAATAGAGACCCCCCGAAGCCTGCCCTCTATA